TGCACCGCTGGTGCGGATTCGCCGCCATATACACTATTTCAGGATGGAGGTGAGATCCTCTGCAAAGCACTGACCTCCATATTCGAACGTGTCTGGAAGGAAGAGTGTCCGGGCTAATTGGTGCGAATCGAGTATAGTGTCACTCTACAAAAAAAACAGTCGCGCAGACTTTTAACCACACGGGTATTAGCCTTGTGAGGAAACGTGTTCCCTCGAAATGTGTGAACATCCTATATGCTCTGTACTCGAACACTACAGGCCGCGTCAGAGTCTACGGTGACCTGTCGGATAGCTTTCCGACGACAAGTGACATTCGTCAGGGTTGTCCGATCTCCCCGTTTTTATTCAGTTTCGTCGTGGACTCCATCATGGAGTACTCCCTTACGGAATCTCACGATGTAGGCGTTGATGTGCTGCATGGTGAAAGATTAGTTGATCTAGATTATGCGGACGATATCTTCTTGCTTTTTGATGATGTTGGATCGGCGCAATCAACCCTGAATAGCCTATCTAGCGTGGTCCTATTATTTGGTATGCACTTCGCACCTTCAAAATGCAAAGTGTTGCTGTAGGACCACCAGCCACTTGATGACCCGTTTAGGTTTGCTAACGAGGAATTCGAGGTAGTTAGTCAATTCACCTAGCTTGGCAGCTGCATCAACAATGATGGACGAATAGAAACTGATGTCAGCTCACGCAATGCAAAGGCCAGGTCTGCCTTCTTGAACTTGTGGCATCGTTGGCCATAGAAGGGAATTTCCCTCCGTCTGAAAGGCTGTGTATACTAGGCCACAGTGAGGGCCATTCTGTTCTATGGTTGTGAGACTTTGTCCCTTCGGTCTGAAGATCTGAGGCGCTTTCAAGTCTTTGATAATCGTTGTCTGCGAAACATTGCTGGTGTCGTATGTCACCAGCGTGTCCGCAACGATGATGTGCGTAAGCGAGTACTAAGCAGTGATGATCATGCTAGCTCCATAGAACAACAGATAGCATTGAATAAGTTGCGTTGGCTCGGACACGTGCTAGGTATGCCTGCTCACCGCTTACCTAGGAGGGCCTTGTTTAGTCTACAAGGTTTAAGGTGGCGCGAGGCTCGAGGTGGACAAAACTCGACTTGGCAGCGGGAAATGAAGTTACTGACGACCAAACTGGGTGCCATCGGTCCGTCTCGCCTTCCGGGTTCGAGTCCACGTGACTCGCCTTGTGCTTGACTCGAGACAAGATATGGTTCTCAGTCGAGAGCAGTGGCGCGTCTTCTGCCGTATCCTAGTCGGACGGCTTGTTAACGTGTGTTTGGTGCTGAGTTATCTGCGGGGTAATGGCTGATTATGACGCGCGGCAGTGAAAGCCGCAAGGAATCTGTCTCACCGATGCCACCTTATGTTTGCACGATAGCCAGCTGTTTGTGACAGTATGTTGTTAACACAAGGTGTAGGCGCCTTGACCCTTAATGTTTGCTTAGAGCATTAAGGTTTTCGGGCAAGTCCCTCTTCTCTCCTTCTTATTATTCATCGTTCCGTAGGTCGTCATGTTTGTATGGCAGTGGAGCATCCAAATGGTTGCTGTACTGTTGTTGTTGTTGTTGTTCATCGTAGGGGGTTTTGAACTTGTCGACCCTTGTTCGCATCCCAGCTCCATCTGCAGACTGTGCATCGACTCTGGGCACATATTTGGGCGCCGTGTCTATGAATTGCTGTAATATTACGGTTTTTTCGGTTATAAGTTAGTTTGTTGTATTGGAGCCACCATCCCTTATAGCAGTTGCTCTTTGGCCGCTCACCTTAGGGTTCATCCATTCCTGCCTGTAGTAGGCGCCGTCCTAGTCGACTTTCGCAAAACCATTCGCTTTTCATTTCTCTTGGTGGTAATATGTGTGAAAGGGTGCTGATGTGTGACCTACGCGCCATTAGAACATGCGAATACTTCCGCTCATAGTCGGTAGGCACCGTTTGATTTCTTTACGACGACAATAGGTACCAACCGAAGCGCATACTTACCTGTCCGAACTACAATTCCATATGATCGCTTTGGTTGGTGGTCAACAATAACTATCTCGATGTACGGGTTGTTTTATTCTAAAGCTGATTAAACTTTATGAAGCAGCATTAATTATGCCTGTGCATTGATGCGACAGTTGTGCTGTTCGGCAAATACTGAAGCGTATCCACAGCTGAGGTAATCCAAGACATCCTTCTCCGGGATCAGCGGTACTGTATCTTCGGTGTTCGCCACTGTGATACAGTGTGCTCTATGAGATTGGTTCGAAAGTTTGAGACCACAGTTATTGTGGTGTTACATTACATGTAACCGCCTTTCACCGACCATCGAGAAACGGTCACTCTGTGTTTCAGTGTTCCCTTGAACGTGTATAATGTGTAATGGACCGCACTGAGGGCTAATCGTCGATCAGCATCCTGGTTCGTTTCTGTGTCAGGATACGATTGGAGCCCTCATCGAATGGAAGTTGAACTTTTCCACTGATAGAAGTGATGAGAATGTTTCATCCTTTAGCGAAATTTACTTTAAATACTGTCACCACCGTTCTTGATTGAACTGTTCCCGCCTTCACGTGGTGGCAGCTGGGTGCCTCGGGTTTATCCCGTTCCATCGAGGGGTTCGGCGGTAGTGTTTCAGGACGTGGTGGGTTTTTACCTGGCAAACGTTCTCTCTATAAAAACCCACATATGTCCGTTTAGTAACACTGTGGCTTGGCATGTGTGACTTGCCACTAGAGAAGGTTATTTTCTCTTGTCTCCTTCTGGCTGGCACTGTAATTCAAGGGTTTGTTGAGCCCATGGCCCTTTGTGATTCTTGAGGCATATGAACCAATTGTTTGGTTACCGGTTTCTAACGGGTTACAGCCCCCTATTATTGCGCTGCTGCTTTGCATGTTAGATCCTTGATCAATTACTCGGGGTATGGCGTCCTAAGACAATTCTCTATTTCGACCTGGGCAACCGGGTAGTGTCACGTCCACTGACTAATCATGTATGGATTATACTACCACTTTCACTCTTGTTATGTCTACTGGCTCTACTGTCCCCACTGGTCAACCTCCACTCACAGATCGTCCCACGTCCCATCTTTCAACTACACTTATGTCCTCCCCGGTCACCACCAACAGCAGCTTACTGGTTGCACCTGACAGAAGTCAGAGTCAAATACTTGGCTTTCGACGCCTCGCGATCACAGCCTTCCCACACTCCACCGAGGCCCCGGCTTTTCTTCGACCTGGTTCTCCATTTGGCCTCGCAGCGTTCATTGCTTGCACTGATGCAAATTGGACGGCGAGCTTGTTTGCTCCGCATCCTTAAGACGCTATTTCATGCCTTACGGAAACCAGATTGCAAGACTTTAGTACCGTCATCGGAATGACCTCTTCGGCAAATCCTGACGTAAAATACCACATGCGCCCTTCCACTTGAACCCAGAGACTATCGCTTCTGACCAGGCTAGTGCTAGGGTTGTGCTGAGTGGCAAATTTGAGTCCTCTCTGCTTGACTGAATCCCAGTCAACAGTCGCCTGTGCGCAGTCACACTATGAGGTTCGCGTAAGTTAACTAAACGTCGAGATGTCAAGCGTGCCTTATTTGTCGTCCCCGCCTACGCTCCTATAGACTTCAGCCCAGATGCAGTCAAGGAGGGCTTTTACCAACAACTACATGACATGCGTTCCTCTAAAAGTCTGGCACGAGTCGGCCGCGTGCATTCAAGCGAGCACTATCTTGCGGGTGGTTCTGGCGTCGGTAGCAGTCTATCAGACAATTGAGACAGACTACTCACTTTCTGTTCTGACCATCGGTTATATCTCTCAAAACTCGAAGTGACAGGTTACTACCTGGCTCGCGTTTTCTCAAACGCAGGACCACATAGCCATAAACCACTGATGGTGTGGAAGCGTAATAGACTGATGGTCGTACTGGTCAACCTATATGGACTTTGACCACGCACTGGTTCACGCTAAACTTTGCATGCGTTTCGGAGGATCGCGTAGGCATACGCACTACTGACCGAGCGTAGAAAATTAACAATACCGCGCGGCGCTAGTCAATTACCAGGCATCTCTATTAACACTTTCAGCTTTTGACAACAGCCTTAATTCACAATGGATGCGCATCAAAAATGCCCTTCTTTCTGCTAACATTAATAATTGTGGAGTTGCCCGTCACCCACCGAAAAGCTGAATCACCGCTGTCTCCTTGTTGCTGATGGACATACGCTGTTCGGTCCCAGCTGTAGCGAAGTACACCAATCCCTAAATCGGGAATTGCGCAAAGTTTACGAAAGGACCGTGAAACCCTGGTGGTACGAGCGTGCTTAAGAAATGGAACTTGCTATTCTCACTAGTAATACCTGAAAAGTTTCCCATCCTACCTGTCTAACACCCTCCATTACGATTACTGGCTCCAGGAAACTGTTAATCGTTGTTTGGGGGACGGGGTGCACGGTCCTCGTGGCCGTGCTAGGCTCAATGAGTGGCTGCATCCAGTGTGGAGCGGACTACGGTCCAACCACCGCCTTTTGGACGTTTTGTACGCATGATTCCCTACATAGATAGACAGGAATGCTGCTGCTATGCATCTTAAAGGAGTGTGGGCCGGCTCCGTTGATGAAACGTGGCTCCCATCCGCATGCCTCCCGGTCTTATTCCTTCGAGTTTACACTGTATATGGGATGTGTGGATGGAGCTGTGGGTGGTGCAGCGCAAGCCACCTATGGTCTCTCTGTAGGCACAGACGTCATGTGGCTGTCCTATGGAGGCCACAATGACAGGCAAATCCGGAACCAGATGCTTCCAACCATGTTCTCCCAACATCGCTGTGTGAGACCAGAATCCACTGCACATCTGTGCTGCGATTAGCCACATCTTTCTATTACTCTTTAGTGGAAATATCTGCATTCACTCGGATGAAATTGACTTCCCCTTATTACTTGTTACCATATGAGTTTGCGTTCGTGACGTTTCTCACGCATACTCACCTCTTTTCTCTCTTTTACAGGCACCTAGACCTCCCAATCGTAGACGGGAATCTCGCCTATCACACTCGTCACGGGACACTGGTCACCCGGCAGGCGCGCTTCCCCATTGGCCCTCACACGGCCGCATCGAATTCCACGATGTTTCGCTGTCATATAAGCGCTTCACTCAATCTGGTACTATCGGGACTGTTGAAGCTCTGAGGGGGGTGACGTTCACTATCGAAAGTGGACAACGGCTAGGGATCGTTGGACGCACGGGTTCCGGAAAGAGCAGCCTTTTGAAAGTGTTGTTTCGTTTGGTTGATCATTTTCCTGGCCCGGTCACTAATCGACAAATGGCCGATCGGTTTGGTTTCATTGGGGCCAGTGGCCAGGTGAGGGATACCAAATTATCTTTCTCGTGTATCGGGAGTTTTAGTTACGCTAAATGATAAGAATCTAGTGTAGAGTGGCTTCTCACTCTGATGGTCACTATGTTCAAATCGGTCAAATAACGCTCGCTTCCATTTACTGTCCACACTGTTCGGTTTTTTTAATGTCCAATATCGCTGTTTGTGCATTGTAAACTGTACTTACACTCGAGGTGTAAAGGAGCACAGAATCGATCCGTTGTGTAACAGTGAGGGTCCGGACGAGTAGACACGCATTTCAGTATCGCTGTGGTGTACAACTCTACGCTCCTTGTGGCGATTTGGAGTAGTTTCATTCTAGCATATGTAAAATTTTACGCCAGACCGAAATTCGCAACCTCGGTTTTCGCATCCCATCCACCCCAAGATCTCCTTGAGTAATTCTGGGTGTTGGCGATAATTGCTGAGTGATACTGTCTACCTCTTCATTAACAGAAGTCCCTGATTACCTTCGATGCTAGACAGTGATGTGCCCCTGGTTTCAATATGAGTTAAATTCGAACTACCTTGCTACAGTGCGAACTACATTACTTGTCAGTTGCCGGTACGCTGGAAGCATCCTCTTCTCAGCGTAAATAGGGTTTGTGAATCACCATTTTAAGCGCACTTCTTTGATCCACCATAAGATCTCATTAAGTTATCAATCCGCTTCCCACCTAATGAAGTATTCTTTCATATTTTTCTTCTGTCAAACTCATCTCCAACTCAAACCAAATTAGAAAGGTAGGCAGACATCTGGAGTGACGGTCTAATATGCGCCAGACGCGGTGAAACTTAAGGATTAGCATTCAAATCGGTAGTCAGCCTAATCGCACTGTTTCATCCAAAACATGGCAAATATTTCACCTGAACTATTGATGCCACTATCTTGACAAGTGAACTCGAAGAACAAACCATTCGAGCCTCCTTTTCAATAAGCCGGAGATCTTTTGCTGAATACCAAGTGAAGTTGGTAACCTCATTCTGTTGTGGTGAATCTCAGCGATTGATACACATGCATCCGTAGATTCGTTTTTTTAGCTAGTAAGAGCAACCAAGCGACGGCGACTGCTGAAATTCGGATATTCCTTTTTCAGGTCTTTGTTGGTGATGTTGACATTCGCACAGTGCCTCTGCCTGTTTTGCGTTCTCGGATGTTGGCCATTGGCCAAGAATCGTTCTTGTTCTCCGGATGTCTTCGTACCAATTTGGACCCTGATGGGTAAGCCCTCTAAGCAGCATCTTGTCGCTCTACAATTATGCTATGTCGTATTGTCGGTGGCGCTATGACTGTCTTATTTATTATACTTTACTCTGTCAGTTGTTTATCTGAAACCGGGTGAAAGCCCATTGATGCATAATCACGCCTCGTTTAACGAACCATTGTTCTCCTTTTGAGAATTCAGATCAGTTTTTCGCGCCTTCCACACGCAGACCCTCATCTCGGAGTATCTGTTAAGGCTTTCTCACTGTTTTCACTTTCTTAGTTGACCATTACATTTCTGGGTTCCAGATGAATTTTGTTGGGCTTTACTCATCAATACATCTGTGATCCTGTACCAGAGTACAGCTCTTTACTCCAAATAGGATGGTGGCCTTGCGAAGGCTTGCCTCCGCTTCTACACCGGGTTGAAACCATGCACTGCTTTTATCCCCTTTAAGCAACATGAATGTTCATTTCACTCCAGACGATGGAGTCGAGAACGGTCATTGGCGCCAATACACCCACCTCTCTGTAGCTGCGGTGTGACTGGTCGTTTGCTTAGCATCGCAGGTTTCCGGATACCCTACGAACGAATTCTAACTGGAATATATTTGTAGACTGTTATTTGACCGCTTACCGACGGTTAATAGACCACTGCGTTAATCGCGTGTCGGTCAACCACAACAAACTCAGTCAATTTTAACTCATATTAAGCGACTTTCACTAGGCAGCCATCAGCCGATGCGGATTTGTGTGCGATGTTGACGCATATTTTTTTAACTTCTTGCTAACACTGCGACATTGATTTTTATCTGTAGCAGGAACGGATTCACCGAACCTCACCAGATTGTGTTGGTCGCCAACACCAGAAGTGCACCACCGTGGTTCTGTATGAATCATCTATTTATTCTGCGTCATAAATGCATATGAGTGAATAGTAGATTGTTCAGTAAACCAGCACTACACACCCCATTCCGGCCCGGCCGTGTCTAACAACCCAGCTTGTCTTTTTGTCAAACTAGCGTCTCGCACAGCATGCTCAAATCCAACACGCAGCGCCTTGCGGTATACGCTCAGACTGATGGAACTCAACGGCACACCGACATCTGTGTGGTTAACGGTCACATGGTGACACCTGACTTTCTGTACGAAGGATGGTCTGAAAACTGGTGCTTACTGTTTTCTCAAGACGGTCTATACAAGAGCGGTTGATCGAAACCATCATACTCGCCTGTGAATAGGTAGATAAAAAGTTATTTCGGACGCTCGTCCGACAGGCTGTCGTATATAGCACATCTAAAGTAGTATCCATGTTGATGCGAATACTCGAGCTGGCCCAACGCTGGAACACCTATCCCATACTTCCCGCGTTGCATGGCATCGCTTGAAATGAGCGAAACAGTGCTATCACAGCCAGCTACCTCTATGCTGTCGGCGACATTAGTCTCAGGCGACCGGGCTCGTAGTCATCTGACCATATGGAACCAGTTACATAGATGCCTCCTGCTTATTTTCTCTGCGTGATACTCCCAGCACAACTGCGCAGTTGTTGGAGCCATTTCCTACTGTGTATTAGTAGTCCACCAGCTCTGACCCACCTCAGTTACCGACATATGAGGCACATAATCAATTGATCATTGCTCGAAGTAACCCCTGTAATCGTGGTCAACAGTACACTACATGGTTTTTTTACACATTGCCTCAACAGGAAATCTTCCGGAACCGTCAGCAAACACACTCTTTCATCTCAGCCGCTCCAGGAGGTGTTCCGTCTGTTTGCAATCATCGATGCGTACCTAGGGAACTTTGCACCGAATTAAGTAAAATACTATATTCTACATGTCACGCAAGATAGCTTCCATGCAAGTGAAAGATATTAATCGAGTTATAAAATTCTCACTTTTTTGCACGGCATGGTACGTCGTGATTTTCTAGGCGAATCATGTGAACGGGGAACGTGGTATCAGGTCATGGTGCGTATGTCATCGTCCTTGTCCGACTTCGTCATCCCCCGCATTGTATCTCTACGAAATCTGCAGACAAACTGATTTTGCCGTTGATCTACCTCTGTTACATCAGGATGTCGGTTTAATGGCCACTTGCGTTATCCACGCCTACATTTACCTGAACTGTATGTATCCTTTCGTAGGCCCTGATCTATCATTTAGATGGCCCCTTCAGCACCCACCTATGGCAGCTAATGCTATTCGTGTCAACGGCTGCTTCATACTCGTCACCATTAGACGAGTAAGCGTTTTGTCCCAACTCATCGTCCATAAAAAATACCAATAACTTTCACATGTTTTAATTGCTCAGCATCCTGGACGATGTCACACTTATTGACGTGTTACTCAAATGCCGCTTGGCCTCCACCTCCTCGGAGGCCGCAGACTGGTTATCGCGCGATGTTGGCGAAGCTGGCCGCAATCTATCGGCTGGACAACGCCAGCTAGTCTGCATAGCCCGAGCCCTACTTCGAAGCCCCCGTCCCAACATCGTGTGCGTCGATGAAGCAACAGCTGCAATGGATCCGAATTCCGAAAAAGCCATACACGTAAGTTACACTGCAGCGTTCCACATTCCCCTTATTTCTGAGTACTGTGTTTATCAGATATGCTCTATGCGTCGGGATGCGACTGACTGATTTGTTGAATCCCACCTTGCGATGATGGTAACGGTTATGAAGACGCCACAGCAAGAAGCAAAATGGGAGGATATGACTAATACTTCGATCGGTTAGGGTGAAAGTAATACCGGCTTCGGACGAAAGAATTACCACATAAATATGGTATCAAGGAGACAACTTGCGAGAGGCTTTCACAGCCACGCTTCATACTGAATGTTATCACACAATTGATAACACATTTCGAAAAAGCAATACGGCTAGGAGACAGCAGTAAACGCGCCTTTTACGAGCTGTCCTGCAATGTCTCTACCTGGGTACAGATAACTGGAGAGTAATAGATCCAGTAGGGTGACAACACACATGTAGTGATAAAACGCTGGATGAAAAACCGCGGTACGACGGTTGACCTGAGACGTGTAACATAGAAGGAGAGTCTTCTAACCTTAGTAAACGTTTCGTTCACGTGAAGGGAGCACGTAAGCCCACTGCTTAGTGTCACTCCCAGGTATTTTACTGAAGTGGAAGAGGTCAAATCTTCACCGTCAGTGCAAAGTTGTGGACATTGCGTCAGGATTTGCTGGTAGCGATTTCCTTTGTACAGCGTAGAAAAGACATCCTTGCATTTTGCTGTATTTTGATGTGTGTTGGCAAGGGGACTTAGACCAAACTGTACGGTTGTTCAAAGGGTTTGTAGCTTAGTCGATGAATCTATACTACTACGATGGACACCAGAGAATATATCATCCGCAGAATTTAGCAGGATGGCTTCTTCAGTGACGAGGATTGAGATAACGTTAGTGGAAAACAAGAATGGGGAAAAATTGCTTCCTGAAGAACACCAGAGTTTGTGGTGATTGAAGGAATGTTTCTCCCAATTAGCCTGGTAAACTGGGTACTATTGGTAAAATAATCTTTCAACAGTAGAACAACAGAACTTTGGATTCCGGAACCTAATAGATCGCTCAACAATAAAGACGTCACGGTTCACACAACCGGAAGCGTTTCTAAAATCCAGGAAGCAGATGCGGATGGATTTGTCTTTATTATCCAGTGACGAGAGCACAGTATTTACCAAGCATGCTACCGCATCTAATGTGGACGTTGAGATGCGAAATGCAAACTGATGTGGGTCATCCAAATGGGCCTGTGCTGAGATCCTTTTAAGCAGAAGCCTCGAATGTCTTAAGGGAAACCGACGTGCATGCGATCCGCCCATATTTGCAGATTCCTTTCTTTGGCACCGGCATGATGCTTGCGCTTCGCCAAATATCAGCTATTTTGTACTACTTAAAGCACAGTGTGTGCAAGTCGGCGAGGGTCTCCGTCAGGTAATCTACACACTCCTTGAGAACCACAGGTGACAACTTATCCGGACCAGGTGCTTTGTTCATCTGCAACCCGATTAATTCTCTGTGTACTTCTAGGCTGTTCACAGAAAGAGGGTTATCTGTGGATAGCTGTATCATCAACGAATGAAGTACTATCTTACCCACAAATTTGAGGTTTAGTTTTTCTACATCCGGATTGGAATGCGTGACTTCGCGGGTCACCGCTTCACTGTTTCAGCATTTGCCATATTTCACGATTATCATTATTTCCAAATATGGCTTGAAGGTAGATATGGTTGAGACTACGCAATTAGATTTTTATACCAGTCGATAGACTTTACTGAGGAAATGTCTTTGCGTTTAAAGACCATTACTTTAAGCCTACGCAGTTTTTTGAAACATTAAGATGAGAATCTATCAGAACAAATAAAAATTGTTTCCATTGGACAACAGATGTCGAAACAGAAGTTTAACTACTTAACAGGTCACAACATTACGATACATCCGCATCGTGAAATAAACTAAAGCCAGTGGAGGCAATGGTTTTACGCAGTCTCTGAATGTTCTGGGGAAGGCATTGTCTCTGCGTGAACCTTCGATCTCTGCAACGGGTGAGATCTTTATGGTTCATCTTGTTATAGATAACGGGTGATTACTTTACCGTGGCAAGATAAGAGCTCCAAAGCATCGCTTGATAACAAACTGAAAACACCTTTAGTTTATTGACAAATACCATATCAAGTGTCGCATCTTACCTAACTGAGATTGCACTATGTTCGCAATGAAGCTGGTGTCAGGTCTGTTGAAATCGCCGGCAACTATGCACAGGGAGAGTTCCAGGTATTCGAGAACCGCAGCTGTAAATCCGTCACAAAATTTTTCAGCCTCGTATCTTAGACAGCTGGGAGAGATATAAACGTTAACGAATAAAATCTAAAGATAGCCATTCCGCAGTCTTGGTTTGCATTTCAACACTAAACAGCTGATGCGTTGCGAGCTGCGTTGAAGAATGCTTTTAATCGACATGTACCATGAAGAATTGACGTAAATGCTGACACTACCACAGCGTTTCCTTTGCGTCCATTGGCGGTCAACGCGAACAGTTAAACCCGTGGACATACACATGAAGCCAGATTCTTTGCAGCATACTGATGCTCAGGCGAGAATATTCACGACATTTTGTAACATTTTGAGGTCTTCCAATTTTCCAAATAGCAGTCGAATATTAGCACAGAGTAAACCAGGTAGGCTCATACTTCCGAGATGTTTCCTTCGAAGTGCAACCCGCCATTTTGCGCAGTATTTTTGTAGAATTCCTCTGCCTTTTTGATTTTTTATCAGGCTTCTTATCGTATTCATATGTTTTGGATACCTGCATGCTTTTGCACACAGTGCGCGTCTCCTCGATCACTTAACCAATGGAGGCGATGCAGATTTAGACATTTGAGCCAGTCGGATGCTTCGAGCGTTTTTCGGCACTATGGTGCATTAAATTCACACATCCATTTTGCTAATATGGCGAACTAAGATGGCGACCACCAGCATTCTGTACAATAAGCCATAAAACTGCAACTACCATGCTCTTCACAGCGTGGTAAGAAAAAGGTATAAGCAGCACGCAGGCACATTTTAACTATTAGGGGATCAAAACAAACGAGCCTACGATCGATCATCGCCATTTGGATCTCGACCATCAATCACATACATTGCAGCCCTGCGTAAGGCCACTAGTTAAGTCCAACTCAAGATGTGAACTCTGTTGGAGGTTTCATTGATTGTATCAATCAGTTAGCATCTCCGGTATGATTCATTGGCTCCACTGTGTTCAGTAGTTTCGCTTTACTCTATATGCACCACCGTATTCCCCATGAGATTCTGTACTGCCATAGCTCGTCTTCGCGTTCTCGTTTACGGCCGAGGGCATTGCGCAGTCACGTTGGGTTTTGAGCAGTAAATGCGCGGCGACTCAACATTATGGCGAGGGAATCCAAGGTAATCAAGATGTCAATCTCAATAGAAGATCTGAAACTTATTTTGCTTCAAAAGCAGCAATAAGTCGAGGCCGCACAGCTGCGAGTGATCGAGACCCTCACTCGCGCACTATAGCTCCAGTTTACAACCGCCCACAGTGTTGAGAAGCCTTCAGTTGATGAAATAAACAGTCTCAGTGAGTTTGTTTTTGATCCCACCCCAGGACTGATTTTCGACGCATGTTTCAGACGTTTCGAAGATATTTTCAAGTCCGAATTATCAAATCTTGATGATGCGCCAAATGTACGACTACTGTTACGTAAACACGGAACTGTGGAGCACGACAGATACATCAATTACATTCTGCCCAAGAGAGCTCAAGATTTCAGCTTCGATAAAACAATTTCCCGACTCACGGGGATGTTTGGCGATTAGACATCGCTTTTCAACAATCGGTACAACTTAATGTTTGAAGTTTGTGAGTAGGGTAAAGTTTTGTAGAAAGTAGAAGTCACGATTAAAATTCACGCACAATAATATGCCTCGACGGGGAGTCGAACCCCGGACCGGAAATTCGTGGACCGGGGTTCGACTCCCCGTCGAGGCATATTATTGTGCGTGAATTTTAATCGTGACTTCTACTTTCTACAAAATCGGTACAACTGTCTGAACCTGTGCAGAAGGGATAGTCCCCTTGCCATTGCAGCAACAGTGAAGCGAGAGTGCAAGAAATTCAAGCCAAAATCACTTATTCAGGACAAATTTGAATGTCTGAAATTGGTATACAGCCTGCAATCTCCAGAAGATGCCGAGATCTGAACCAGAATATTCGGGTTATTGGAGCAAGACCCGGAAGAGACTACAGACTACACTACAAAAAATATGACGCTATGTATTATATTATGCGTTTTGCATGAGATCGGGATTGAAGGGGAACCTAAAGAGGGAATGGACAAAGAAACTCATAACACAAACGCCATTCGGGCCATATCAGCAAGCGTGTCCAACCAAACGTGTTCATCATCCTTAGGACCTTAGCCAGTCAGTCGGGATGCACCAACCGACGCCAGTTTCGAAGTGAGGATTTTCTTTCCGCTCTACTAAGTCATCGCTTGGCCTCCCCTCTTCCTCTTCCAACCGCTCCCCCGGTGCGCAAACAATGCACTTCGCGGGAATCGGTGTGTTGGCATGCGCAACAGGTGGCCCAGTCATCGGAGCCTGGTGCGTGATATACCAGTGCTGAGCGGTTCACTCGCTCATCCTGTACCAAATACGCGACGGCGAACACGCCCATTGCTCACGCGGTGCTACCACCAAAGATGAGCTAAGCTGCGAAGGTAGCGATGATCGAATGTGACGAGCCTCTTTATGTCTGTCTAAGTCAAGAAGTCGCTCACCAGGAAGTAGCTCCACACCTTCTAAGTCGTGTCCATCGAACGCTGTTTCCATGATTTCATCAATAGCGAAGTTGAAGAGGAAACGTGACAGCGGACAACCTTGTCTCACACTGCTGGTGATACTGAAGGGTGGTGACAGTCTGCCATAAACCCTCGCTCTGTCCGAACTATGCGCGTACAGCGTTTTGATAATGTCTAGTATTTTTCGGGCACACTTTTCCTGAGCAAACAGTTCCAGTGGGCACATCGATCAACCGAATCAAAGGCACCTTTGAGATCGAATAGCACGACTATGGTGGGTCACCAATAAACATGGCGGTGCTCCAGCAATTAACGCATGGTGAAGGGGTGGTCGATGCAGCCCCGACCTCGACGAAACCCGGCTTGCTCTTCACGAATCTAGCTTTCATGAGTGCCAGTCAGTCTGTGGAGAATGACAGACGCAAGCAATTTAGAGGCAATTGAGATCAGACTGATGCCTCTATGATTGCCGCATTCCGAACGGGAGCCTCCCTTGAAATTAGGGACAATGACGGAGAGGTTCCAGTCTGCGGGGACAGTCTCCTGCTCCCAAAGTTTCACTAGCAACTCGTGTAAATTATACACTGGAGCAGGTCTTCCGAATTTGAAGAGGGCTGAGGGAATTCTATCTGACCCTGTGGCCTTATGCAATTTCAACAGCCTGATCTCACGTTCGACTTCTGCGCGTGAGGGCGTAACCAAGGAAAAGAGCGCTCAATGCCCGAAAAAGAAACCGATAACTCAGGTTGGTTAAATTGCTTTGCAAAGTGTTCAACCCGACGTTCCAAGCGTTTTGACAGGCTGTGCATCGGCTGCCCACTCTCGTCGCGTATGGTCTCGCTAACACCAGGTCTCCTGCTACCTGTTTCCCGTATCAGACGGAATAACTTACGATGATTACCGACGGTAGCAGCTGTTTCTATCTCCAAGGCACGATGAGACCACCAGGCTTCGTGGTCTTTCTTCAGGCTAGCACGTAGTTTTGTCCTGAGATTTTTGCGAGCCACATTGTATTCGCTTCTAGCCGGAATACTTCGGCGAGCATCCATATGTTCCGGACTGTGTAGAGACCTAATGTCCACTGGCAATTTGATTTGCCATTTGAAGACCTGCCTGGTAATAGTAATGTTTGGCGAATATGCATCCAGTGATCTTCCAGGGTGTTCAGTGGGCGCTTACTCAGCCCGGATGTAGGCGCACTTTGACACACATTCAGAACACCTGGCTTCGCCAGCTGGCTGGTGTCAATCCGTTCACGTCGACGTTGCGGACGTACACCGAAACGCACTCGGAGTTCGGTGCAGACAAGTGGGTGGTCAGAGTCCACGCTCGTGCTCTAAATCGATCGACAGTTTTGGACGCAGCCTCTCCAGCGGTAACTGATTGTGATATGACCGATTTGCGTCCATGGCTAGTGCGAAGCTGGTGGGCGCCAAGTCACGCTTCTGTGGGTGCTGTGTCGAAAGTTTGTGCTCGCGAGAAAGAGACGAGTATCTTCAACCAGCAGTAGCAATCGCTCCCCGTTATCATTACGGGGGCTTACACCATGTTCGCCGCCCAGATGAAGCTCATCAGAGGACAGTTTTCCGACTTGGACGTTTAGATCGCCAGCCAACACCACATTATCCGTGCTTCTTCTGTAGCAAAGGAGATCTTGAAGTTGATGATAGAAATGATTTGTCTCACCGAATCAGTGCTACATTTTGTAGGGGCGTAGTCCGCAATGACAAACAGACACCGTTTGTTCCCGCGCGAGTTCGTAGCATGGAACGAGCCAGCTAAGCTAACGGCGCACATCCGACTGTTGACTGAGATCCAATCGATCAGGGAAGCTTCATCCCGAGAAGCAAAATAATGCAGATGCCAGCTTAACCTACAGTTGGAGCTGCATCATCGCCAGACAGGCGCAATGAGAATGTGCCGCCAGTGTCGCATGTGGGGGTTCATAGGGCAAGCAGGGAGCTCGAAGCTTGCAGGAGGGTTTCTGACAAACAGAAGATGTCGATCGATAGGCTCTCTGGTGTGCGGGCAAGTGCTGCTTCTTGGCCAATCTACAACCAAGTGCGTACGCTGAGGTATGCCAGTCACAGGGAGGCTCGAGGACTCCAAAGGGAAAGAAATGAACTGACGTTGGCCGCTTGACTGAACATGGACTTCTCGATTGGTCTGGAGCGGTGCCCTGAGATTGTGTGTGAGTTGAAACTAGAAGACAAGCGACTATTGAAACAAGGTGGGGGAGTGCGAAGAGTTGGGGGATTGAAAATGGGGGGATAAAAGTAAAGTTAGACCGGGACGATAAGGATGAAGAAGCGTAAGAAGGGGGATAAGAAGACGGGAAGGCCTGAGTAGTAGCATCCAAACTCCTATCCACCCTGCTCAATGCAGCAGATAGGGCGCCGTTGATTATCCTACGCGACGGCCAGAGCATCAAGAAATTGTTAGGAGAAAGGTTCGTCGTATTGTATGGGCAGAATACTGTCAGGAGAGTAAAACGATTATGATTCTCAACTAAAGGCTTTGGTTCAAAATCCTGACCGCAAGGCAGCGGGTTTGGCGTTGGACTACAAAGAGTCTGTTTTAAGGAATAAGGAGTCACCCTCATTTCAACCCCCAACTTGGAGGACCAGGAGGCTAAGTTTGTCTAACCTCTAACCATTGACCAATCTGAAGGTGCAAAGTAGCACCAATTAGCATAGTTCAGTGGATCACTGATGCACACAAATGATCGCACCACGTTAAGGTCCAGTATCATCGCGATGGTAAGAACTGGTAAACCGTTGATTGGAGATGATCAGGTATTGGGCCTTTGAATCTAGGAGCTATAAGTTTTCTCGCGAATACCACATTCAGATGGGTTGCATTGAAAGTCCTTTGGCGCCTTTGAACTAATTTACGTGTGTAGATTTCAGCAGGATTATTTCCTTTGAACGGGAGAGTTAGAAACAGTTGTTTCTTAGACACTTGGTGTTATCACATTTGGACTGTTTCACTTATGTGTCAATGTATCGTTCCGGATATCCGTTCTCTAGTGCTTCCTTTGTTCGCTTAAGTTGGTCTTCAATAGCGTCCTTACTGCAGTTTGCAAGCGCGGTCAACTAAGACGCGTAACAGCATCCTATTGCGGCTGAGTTGGACAGAGTTATAACAGTTGGTGTATTGCCGTGTCCAATGAGGTTTCCTGCATACTTTAATTTGAATGGATCCATCACTTCGTCCGTTCAGATTAGTGTTCAAGAACTTCGTTCGTTTGTTATTTTCTTATTCGGCCGTAAAAGTGGCGTTAATGTGGGCTTTGTTGAAGCAATCCATTACGTACTTCAAATGCAGAGGATATCATTCATATAACGCCGGTAAAATTTCAACTCAGAGATGACTGGTCCTAATGGGCCATTTTCCAATATTCCCCATACAGATATCTGCAAACATTGAACCAAGAGGTGATCCCGTTGCCACGCCGTCGACTTGTCTGTACAATTCATTGTTAAATTGGAGTCGCGCATCGCGGGTACATCTGACCAGTAGTTGTTTTAAGTAGATTGTTAGTACGCCAATATTTGCTCTTAGTTAGTCAATGTAAGCGCATAGAAAGTTCACTGTCTCTACCAGAAGCACGTTAAACAGTGCAACGTCCAGGGAAAACATTTCATGATACCACATATTCATGTTTCGAATTTCCTCGCCAAACTGAAACGTATCGGTCAAGCGGCGAGACGCAATCATTTTTCTGACGGGATCCAGTACTTTTGTTAGCCATCGTGCAATATTGTGAATTCCTGCTATCTAGCATGGGCCTTAGTGATATGCCTGGTTTATGTATTTTTGGAAGGCCAAAAAGCCGGAGATATAAGCTTATTAATTTACAACCAATGTTACCATAGGGATTATAGATATGACTATGGACCGCCAGAGACGTCAAAAAGATTGGCCGTGCAAGACGGCCGACGTCCCTGGGGTATGGCTCATGCCTGGTAGAAACGCTAACTCTGAAGTTCATCGTCAATTGCTTAGCGGAATACTTTTCGATGCTTCGTTGGAGTTGCTGTTGAATTCATATCGTCCACGCTGGTTTGCAACCTACCATCTCGGTGAGTACTGCTCTTCAACACTGTCTATTTGGGTGAAATCCAGAACTGATTAGTTAATAACTTTGTAAAAGAACGTAGAGAATCCCACTGAAAACTTGAGTCGAGTTGGTGCTTGTCCTCTTTCCGGATAAGGTCTTCGGGACCGTCCACAAACTCAACGAGGCTATCGCAGCCGTTCCATTATTTCTGTCCCTTAACTACTCCGTCAGACAAAGTTGCCTTTCGTTCATTCCTCTATAATTGTTATTAGTGGATCAGTCTAACTTCGGTGCACAGCTCGTAGTTGACAGATGTGTGCCCGTTAATGAGACACACTGGCGCATGCACAGCACGGAGTATGATTAGTAACTGCAACATTTCATAACTTTGACCAATTTTAAAGTCACAATGTTCACATTTTCAACTGATCGGTCGGTTATCGTCTCACACTTTTCGCCATAGTTCGTTGCCGACTGATGAGTTCTCATTGGCTTTATTGGTAACATCATGATTGTCAAAAATATTTATTCCCGCTTAAAACAGGACATCTTGGATCGTGAATTTCAAGGTGCAACTCTAATGCTCATTGCACACCGTCTTTCATCTATTCGTCGTTTATGTGACCAAGTAATCGTGATGCACAACGGCCAAATTGTTGCCCAAGGATATCCGGACCAACTGCTATCAAACGATCGGATAGTGTTGAATGTCGAAGAAGATGCGCCGGTCAGCCAGCTTAACCTCATAGATTTATGACGTGCTCACCTACTACTCCTAATTTTCGTCCTTGGCCCACTAATCCTCACAACAAACTCGGTGATTCCATTTGAACAATTGAATACAATGGTTCGTCTTTTGCGATAGTGTAAATATAGACGTTTAAAGCGGACATTGATTTCCGTGAAATATGCTTGAATCCAGATTAACGATGACTCAAGATGAGTGGGAAGGTCAACAAATATGTGAACACAAGACAGAGCATTCTTAACGTTTATCAATGATCTGCGCCGCTCACTCACTTTACTATGCAGGAAACCTCCACGGAAGTGCTATTCTTCCGGTGCCTCAAAGGCACAAGTAGTGCGAATGTGTTGGGGTACACTCCTTTTCACCATTTACACAGCTGCTGTAGATAATAGGGTCAACTCTATTTTAGATCATTCATGCTAAAAGATAAGGATATACCATCCTAGTACGATATTTGAGGTGAGTTCTGCTCGGCGGTAGAAATTCGTTATCGTATAGCACTATGAGAGAACCATTTACCCTCAGCTCGATACGGGGGTTCTGACGTGAAACGGATGACTAACGTCACTGAGAAGCCAATCGAAAACTGCAGATACAGCCTAATTCATCATCGTCACCCGACACTTCGATGTCATAAAATCTTTAAAGTGGAAAATATGATGTTGTGGGTAAAGAATATGAAAAGGACCTAGAATCCACGTGGACAAATCAGTATCGGAGATGCGGCTTTTTTGCCTCATGGTAAGCTGATATTACCATACACACTTTGAACAAGTAGTCCGATAAGGATAGGACAATAAATACACCATCATCGCCGGTTACGAGTTATTTCTACTACAATGTCCAGAGACAAGTACAGGATGTTTGCATAAACCACAGCTTGGGAGACAAAACGGATAACTTCCACTCAGTCTTGTAGCTCATCAATGTCCCAAACAACACCGGACAGATCCCCACTGGCTGTCAGTCGTTTCGGGCTGTGTTTTGCACACACTAAACGTAAAGTTCTGCAAGATTGGCAGTGACCGCTCTTGCACTAACCCTTGGTGGGGATCAGCTAGAAGTCGTCCAGAAATTCAACTACTTGGGCAACTGTATCCGAACCTGTGCAGTAGAAGCTGAGGTCAAAAACCGTATAGCAAAAGTTCGAGACGATTTCGTTCATCTTTACCCCTGTTTCGCCGACGCAACATCACTCACCATGAAGAGCGTAGTCTGAAATGCAACTGTCTGTTCAACCCTCTTGTACGGTTGTACAACCTAACCCACCAGATCGACAGACGTAGGCAAGTTTGTTACATTCGATCATCGGTAGCTTCGCAGTTCAGCTCCCATCTGATGGGAACACCGCGTGAGCTATCTTCTAGCACCGTAGACTGGACATCTATAGGCAATACCTTATGAAACTACCCTGTCTCGCTTACCTGGCGGCGTTCAACGTTCGCACTCCAAGACAAAAAACAGGCTGTGCCCGCATGCATGTTGAACACCTTAAGTATTGTGTGTCCGAAACTAGGATTAATGACTCCCAGGAGTTGAACTTACTGCACCCGTTTTGTCCTCTCACTATTGGTTGCACGTATCCGGAGATGCTGATGCGACAGGTTGGGGTGCGCATCGTTTTTCAGCTCTAAGGCTGTCATCCTTGGTTGACTGGATTCGTGTAAGCAGCCGTTGGATGACGTCAACTAAGGTTGATTCACGAAGTGGCACTAGACGCTGTTTGTCTATGGTTGCTGCTTATGCCTCCACCGATTGCAGTTCTGATGCAACCAAGAACATCTAACAAGGAACCTACTACGCTGTTGCAGTGGACTTGAATATGCAGGTAGGTCGTCTGGGTTCTTCAGAAGTAAAGGTAGGTGATAAGTACGGTCTTAGTCCCACCGACAGACAACGGCGAGCGTCTGTCGCAACTATGTGCGGAGCACTTTCTGTTTTTAGTAGCACCGCTTTTAATCGCAATGGGCGGCGCTCGAACTTGTTAACAAAATACGCGATTTGGACGTAGAAGGGAAACACGTGGTCTCGTTTGATGTGTGTTCATTATTCACCAATGTTCACTTAGAAGAGACTGGACGTAATAGGCATACATGCCGAACATTTTCGATTTCCAGCTCAGCACCGAGGAAGTCTGGTTTAAGTTTAACGACACCATGTATCGGCAGGCTACTAGTGTAGCCATAGGAGTCCACTTGGGTCTGTGTTGGGTGATATTCTCATGGGCTATCTAGAAAACACTACACTACATCCTTACACACAAGACGTGCATTCATACAGCAGCTATATAGATGACATTCGTCGTTTTTACACTGCCGAACAAGCACAACACTATCGGCTTTAAACAACTGTCACAGCGCGATAGAATTTACGGCAGAAAACGAATCTTCCGGTGTCTTCCGTTTTTTGGGCTTCAGTCTAAGAAATCAACTAGCACACTCATTCGATCTGTGTACCGCAAACCTACGTTAACTTTAGGTTTCTGTCCTATGAATTACAAACGAGCTCTGGTTCATGCAACTTTTGCGAGATCTCGCCAAATTTACTCTGATGAAACGATTGAATATGAGCTACAACGCGTCGTCTCGACATTACGTGAAAACAGATATCCTGAGTTCATAGGATGGCATTCAAACGTGAACGCGAAACCTAGAAACGAACGGGTGCCCGACGTCCATAAAAAGTGTTCATAACGCTACCATTCAAAGGCGTTCAAAAAGTCAGGAGATTCCGATACCGCCAGTCCATGAAGCGTTAGTATGCGGCTGAGTTTATGCTTTTGCATCAAGCTAAGAATTTGCTGTTTAAATCCAACTTGATCAGGTTAGACTCTCGAGTTACCGCCTCATAAATCTACCTGTCTCACCGTATTTGCGGTGTCTAGTACTGAATACTGTTTGTGGGAGCAAGTAGAAATTTGAATCTGCACAACTCCATCAAAATATGATCAAGAAACAAACTGGTCGTTTTTCACGTTATGTCGTCAGAAATCACTTAACTCAAAATTTGAGAAATGCACATCCAATGATCGTTTGAATAGCTGCACTGAGTTCGATTTTAGTACATGTTCCGGCAAACCGTTCCAGACATTTACCACTCGCTGTTCCAAGCACAGGGGATGGGGTACTCGCTTCATATCTAGAACTATAAGCTTGTATTGGTGTCCCCGTGTGCTGCACTGCGTTCGCAAGTGGAGCAATGGCATTAGCATGAGGAAGTCGCCTACATGTAGAATCCGGTAGATCGTGGGGAGGTCAACACGTAACCGACGGTATGCCAAGGTGAACAGTCTCAGTCTCTCGCACCTGTCCTTGTACGGTGAGCCTCGCAAACTAGTGATGAGCCTAGTATCGACGTGTTGAGCTCGTTCAATCTTCTGCGATTCGTCGCAATTGGTCGGGCAATAGGCGGGCGAGCCGTACTCTAGCATTGGTCTGATGATGGAGAAGAGGCGAGTGGCAGAAACTACGTTTGAGTACCAGAGTATGCGCAGTCCGTTACGATAAAGCCTATTATTGTTGTCAACGGACGCAACGTTAGAGTACACCTAGGTCCTTCACAGGTGTGGGGTGTAGCAGTTGGCGGTCGAGAGTGTATCCTCGGCCTCGTCAGCACCCTTCCCCAGGCTCATGAATACCAACTTGGATGAGTTGATCGGGAGGCGGACTTAAGCAGAGCACACGAAAAGACGGTTTAGGTATTGCTGTAGTAACCCGCAGGCCTCGGGTGTGCTTGTCAATCTTCATATCTTCAGGTCGGTCGAACTGATGGGTGACTGTCTAATAGGTAGTAAGGAATTCAAGCAACGCACGCTCCAGACCGCAGTTAGGCAAGAACAAGGCACAGTACGAAACAGAGTGTATCGGGCGAAGCACTGCAACATGGCTCACATGACACACGAGTTAAAGCATGAAGTGAGGAACTATTGATTGGTCAATGCGAGGCAAACCAATAAGAACGCGGTGTGGCTGAACTAACTAATCAATATCATCGACGGATGTAACATCCCATCCTCTCTTGGAGAAAGTCATACTCCGGGAACGAAACGTTTAACAGGTTTAGGTACATGTCGATATCTGCGAAGTGATAGACTGTTTGTTATTTGCACCGTTATCCTGAGTGGTCTGTTCCACCGTCGGCTGTACTGAGTCAGATATATTTTCCTCATTTTCTCGTGTTTTACACAACGCGGACGTATGTGATCTGAATGCCGCCTCAAGACGCGACCATTTAACTCGAGTCAGCATGAGTGCCATCACTTGTGACCACGGTTGCGAGCTGCCATGACTGTTCGTGTGGAGCTCGTGTATACACAGGATCTCCCGGTTGGAAAACAACATCGTGATCCCTGTCCAACGTAGCTGTCTTGTTTTGTTTCGCTTCTATTTGCGCTCGACGATTAGGAAATAATAGGTGTAATCTAGTACAAAGTGTTCTACCGAACATCAGTTCTGCGGGGATTTACCCGTGGCTTCTGTCGGAGTTATTCTGTAGGCAAAAAGTAATCGATCTAATCATGTTTGTACGGTTCCCGATAACTGCTTTAACAGGTCTCCTTTTACCGTCTGCACCGCCCTTTCGGCTAATCCATTTGATGCAGCATTACATTTGGCTTTACCCACATGTTGAATGCCATTGCTGTGCATAAAGCTGTTAAACTCCTTACTGGTAAAACAGGACCCCTTACCTGTACAAACAGTTTCAGGTATACCGAAAACCAAAAGCGATGATCGCATCTTTGAAATGGTTGTTTTAGCCGTGGGATGAGACACTGAATAAATGTTGATCCATTACGAATAGGCATCAACTACCAAACAGGAAAAATGTTCCTTTCAAAGGACCAAAATAGTCTGCATGGATACGCTGCCATGGCCTTTCAGGCAAACGCCCAGGGTGTATTGGACCTGGACATTTATTCCACTGATATTGCTGACAGGTCACACATTTTCAGCTAGTTTTCAATTTCGGCATCTAAGCCGGGACACTAGCAATAGCCGAGTGTAAGGGTCTTCATTCGGACAACACCTTATGTCCAGTGTGAAGTTCATTTAGGATGAAGGAGCGCGCTTTCGACGGTAGAACCAAATGTGAGCCCTAAAATAAGCAACCATCGTGTCTATTCAACTCATTTTTCCGAAGCCAAAAAGGTTTCAAAT